CCCCCCCTTAAAGAAAAAGCCCCCCCTGGTTAAAAAGTAAGTCTTTTTGTTAATTCTTCTTATAAGAAAAAGTCTGCGATCACTTCTCAGAGAGGGCCAAGGGGGCAAATCTTTTATCTTTACCAGCTTAAGTTTAATTAATCAAACCTCCAATACAATAGAAGAAGGAAATTTTGAAAAGAACAATACATCGAGTGTAATTAAAGGGGGTGAAGCTAGGGTTTTCAGAAATAATAAATAAATGGAATAAATAAATACATAAATAAAAACATACACACAGACAAATAAAACAAAGGAAAAAAAATAAATAAAAAGATGGGAAGAAAAAGAAGAAGAAGAAGAAGAAAAAGAAGAAAAGAAAAAAAAGGGGGGAAAAAGAAGGGGGAAGGGAAAATAGATAGATAGAGAGAGAGAGAGAGAGAGAGAGAGAGAGAGAGAGAGAGAGAGAGAGAGAGAGAGAGAAAAAAAAAGGGGGGGGGGGCGGCCAGGGCCGGGGAGGGGGGGGGGGTTAAAATGTCACATACCCCCCCCCCCCCCCCCCCCCCACACAAAAAAGCTAACAACTAACACAATATCAACAATACCACACCTTCTCTAACCTCTCTTTTAAAAAAAAAGAAAAACAAACAGAGATAGACCAAAACCAACCTGCACTCTGCTCTCCACCAGGTCGAGCTTGAGAGCCAGTGCCTCCCTCATGAAGACGTCCGGGTAGTGAGAGTCTTGGAAAGCCTTCTCCAGTTCTTCCAGCTGCCAGCCCGTGAAGTTGGTCCGCGTACGTCTCCGCTTGCTACCCGGGCCGTCCTTCGAATCGTCACACACTCCTACAGGGGAACACAGGAAAAATGATAAAGAAAAAGATAATGATGAAAACAATAATATTGGTAATGATGATTATAATAATAATAATAATAATAATAATAATCATAATAATCATAATCATAATAATAATAACAATAATTATAATAATTGATGATGATGATGATGATGATGATGATGATGATGATGATGATGATGATGATGATGATGATGATGATGATGATAATAATATTTTAAATTACTACTACTACTACTACTACTACTACTACTACTACTACTACTACTACTACTACTACTACTACTACTACTACTACTACTACTACTAATTAATAATAATAATAATAATAATAATAATAATAATGATAAATATAATCATTTATAACAATGATAATCACAACAATAATAATAACAAAAATAATCCTTTGTTGTTGAAAGGTTGTTTCTGTGTTTTAATATTTGTACCTAAATGTTAGAAGTTTTTGTTCGTATTTTAAAAAAAAAAGAATTATTACTTAATTATTTTTTTCCAACATTTAGAATTTGAATTTGGACAAAACATTTCTTGAGAACTTGCATCTGACATTACAAATTAAGAACCTGCCATAAAAATATCAAAATGTTGAGCTTAGTACGTTTTAACAGTTGGCTAACGATGTTTCTCTCAGGAATGTTTGACAGGAATTTTCCCCCTCATTCGCGTGATATTTCAACTTCTGCCTGTGAAATTTTATTTTCTTTGGTCACAATTGTAAGGAAATTTATAAGATAGCTCTCAAAAGCTGGACGCCAAAGTCCATGTTGAGCTCCACCGTTGTTATAATTCAAATAATTATGTCTGCCCAGCAATGTTACTACAGCTTTATCAATAACATCAGGTTCGTTTGCTTTTGTTTAATGGTACGTTTGCTTTTGTTTAATGGTACGTTTGTTTTTGTTTAATGGTACGTTTGCTTTTGTTTAATGGTACGTTTGTTTTTGTTTAATGGTACGTTTGTTTTTGTTTAATGGTACGTTTGCTTTTGTTTAATGGTACGTTTGTTTTTGTTTAATGGTACGTTTGCTTTTGTTTAATGGTACGTTTGCTTTTGTTTAATGGTACGTTTGTTTTTGTTTAATGGTACGTTTGTTTTTGTTTAATGGTACGTTTGCTTTTGTTTAATGGTACGTTTGTTTTTGTTTAATGGTACGTTTGCTTTTGTTTAATGGTACGTTTGCTTTTGTTTAATGGTACGTTTGTTTTTGTTTAATGGTACGTTTGTTTTTGTTTAATGGTACGTTTGCTTTTGTTTAATGGTACGTTTGCTTTTGTTTAATGGTACGTTTGCTTTTGTTTAATGGTACGTTTGCTTTTGTTTAATGGTACGTTTGCTTTTGTTTGGCTTTAACTCCCCACAAGACAAACACATTGTACATCAGACTGTTAACGAGCTCTGTCAGGCCCGTCTATAAAGGAAAGAAAATTAAAACGGATGAAACACGGGGACTAAACACAAACAGAAATATCATACATGTTTATTTACTCTTTGATTCCGGATCTTTACTTAAATGACGATTTGGGGTACCGATTTCCTTAACCCCAAGATCTAAATCTATTTTCACGCATATAGCGATTTTCTGTACATTTAGGAATGGTTTGAGTGCTCACAAAAACGAATCCATCAATATTTGACTGAATTACAGCCGTTTTAAGATAACACCCTTCGCGCCTTGGTGGGTAAAATTGCAGAATCCCCTGCGTATTGAAAGAGTTAAAGGGGTTTTTACTTCCCGCTGAGGTTCAGTGGATCAAAACATGCACATCACCCCCCCCCCCCCCTCA